CTGGGGCGCACGGCGACTGGGGCAGCATGAGCCGGGCCTGGCGGTTCCCGGCAATCCCGCTGCAGGTGCGCGGCCCGGGGCCCGCATTGTGCGCCCGAGCGAGTGCCGGGCCCATTGTGCCACGGGAGGAGGGGGACGAGCGGGCGCCCATCTGCCGTCTGCCACGCTAATAGGCATGCTGCCTGAGCAGCTGCGTCCCGGCCGCATGACCCCCACCTCCAGGCAGCGGCCACCGCCCGGCAGGTCCCGGCCTGGCTTTCCTAGCCCGGACCTCCGGCTCGGATGGGGGGGTGACAGCGCAGGAACCTTAGGAAAGCTGGACAGCGCCTTCTGCACCCAGTCTCAAGCCTGAGCCTCTGCGACACTGGGCTTCCCTCGGGAGGTAGAGGGTGACAGTTCCTGGGCTTGGGCCATCCATCCCTGCCTGACGGTTGGAACAGACCTGGGCCTACAGCCGAGACGAACCTCCCCAAGAGGCCTCGCTGTCTTTCCCCGGGCAGGCTCCATCTCTGCACAGCCTCCATCTCTGCACAGCTTTCCCCGTAGACCAGCAGAGAACCCAGCTACCTTGCATTTGGCCAGCTTTCTGGGGCGGGCTGGGTTTAGTCAGCCCCCTCGTCTGGTCAGCCAGGCGCATTCACACAGTCTTCTTTGTGGGAGGCTGGGACTCAGCCATTTTCTTTCTTCTCCCAGGACTGGCCTGTCTTCCGGCTGCCCAAAGGTCCGACTGGCACTGCCCACATCTCCTTTCCGTTTGGAAAAGTTCCCCAGAGCCAGGGCAGGCTAGGGAGTGGAGGACAGCGGGAGGGTGCAGTGTGGTTAGGGTGGGGGCTTAGGAGCCCTCTAGAAGCACCCCAGGGCTTCAGGGAGGCCGTGGTAGAAGGTGATGTTTCGGAAGAAGGTGGGCCAGGCTGAGTTCCTTTTGGAGGCTTGCAGCTGTGATGTCACTGAGACAGAGGCACATGGGTTTTTTGAGCCCCAGAAGCTACATCTTCCCACCCTGGAGTCAACCCCCAAGCTAAGCAGTCAACACCAAGGCACCGAGCAAGGGGCTCGGGGCTGAGGGGAAGGCATAGGCAGCTGGTGTTCTATTGAGTTCCGGATATGCATGTTTCCTGGGGATGAGCAACTGTAGTTTGTGAGGGAAGGGCCTGGAGCAGCAGAATGCAGGAGGCAGTGAAATAATCTAATTATCGTACCAATAAAACGTTGTTATAAGGAGCCCTGGGCGTGTTAGTGATGACAGTAGTGAATGATGCATGGTGCCTTGTGGACTCTGTGGGTAGGGGCTGGGCTCCCTGTCTTCTCTGTGGCATTACATGGTCGTATAGTTAATGACACCGTGATCGCCAGTGACATAGAAGGACCCTGAGCAGCTTAGCTCCTGGGCCCTCTGGACACACCCTCTCCTGACTTCTGACCAGCAGAGTGCAAGTGTGCAGCCAAGGAGACCGTTCATCATGTATGTCTTCCCTCTCTGCTAGTGAAAGGTCATCCTGGTGGATGTAGGTAGGTCCTGACTGTATTTGCTGGGCCTGACCACATAGCACCAGATGCCAGCAGAATTGCTATATCTCAGCCTTGTGTGTTACTCCTGGATCAGTCAGAGCCAGACTTCTTGCCAGGAAAGCTTGATGGGGAGTGTAGGCCAGACCTCTGTCCACTGCTGCCCTGCTTACATGCTGATCTGAGGGCTTCTCCTGGCATGGCTACATGTCATGGGAACGAACACACACACACACACACACACACACACACACACACACACACACACAGAGAGAGAGAGAGAGAGAGAGAGAGAGAGAGAGAGAGAGAGAGAGAGAGAGAGAGCTCTTAGTTCTTACCCACCTGCTCATTTCAACACTAACCCTTGCTTCTTTTTGCTTGTGTCTGTCTATCCACATATAAAGCTGCTTCTTGGGGCTGTGGATAGGGGATAGTCTGCTGGCTATCCAGTGAACCTTTGAGCAGTGTAAGCTCATTACTTGTAGGAAGATGGACCTCAAGATGTTGCCTTCATGGAGTTAGATGGGGTAGAGGGTGTGCGGCTTCTCTATGCTTTCTGGAGCATCCACTATACCCCTTGTTTTGGACCACTCATTGGGCAGTGGCTCAGCCTTGTGTGGGTGGCTTGGGCCCAGTGAGTTTCTTGTATCACTTTTGCTGGTGTTTGGCCTCTGCATCTTGCTGCTGTGTCTGTGGTCATGCAGTCATCTCTCTTCCTGTTAAACTGCTCTTGGAGGCCTGGAGTATATCCTTTGATTATTTATCCACCTGGGTCCAAGTATTAAGTGACATTGGAGGACTTGGAAGCCTGGCCAGCAAAGGCTGTTTGGGAGTTGGGGGCACACCAGGGCCAAGTGTTCCTGGGATGGGATGGGGATCCACTGGCAAAGACTCTGCTGGACTTTCCCCTGATCTGAGATGTGTTTTTCCCCAGTTCCCTCCAGACTTGGCCCCTGCAGAGAAGGGAGACAGTCCCTACCTTTGAAGTCACCCCTATAGACTGAATTGGGAGGAGGAATGGGAGATGCTTCAAGTCTAGGTGGTTTCAGGAACAGAGGAGGATTGCATAGGCTGGGTAGCCTCACTACTCTGCCTGCCAGAGGCAGAGCAGGGCACCTTTCTGCCCATGCTGGAGCTCTGCCTTCATGGGCTTGCAGCCCAGGAGGGCCTGTAGGACCCTTTCTTTGTTAGGATTTCTATAGCTGTGCTAAAACTCCATAACCAAAATCAACTTGGAGAGTGCAAGGTTTATTTCAGCTTGCACATCACAGTCCATTATAGAAGGGAGTCGTGGCAGGAACTTATGGCAGGGCAGGACTCTGGAGGCAGGAACTGAAGCAGAGGCCATGGAGGAGTGCTGCTTACTGGTGTGCTCCTCATGACTTGTACCACATGCTTTCTTGTACGACCCCAGGACTACCTACCCAAGAGTGGCATCACCCACAATGGAATGGGTGATATCATATTGATCATTAATCAAGAAAGTGCCCCATAGGTTTGTCTATGGGTCAGTCTGAAGGGGGCATTTTTTTCTCAATTGATCTTCTGTCTTCCCAAATCTAGTCTGTGTCACGTTGATATAAAAACTAGCCAGCACAGACCTATTATAGGAGGTGATGCCAGGGCCCTCTACTCTGCAAGAAATGGTCAGTCAGGCCAAGAGAAGGGGATGGATGAAGGGGACTGCCTTCAAGCTTACCTGACTGGGCTCACAGGTCAGTGATGGTCTGCCAGATTGAGAGACCTGAGATGTCCATTTCACACTGCCGAGTGGCCTTTAAGAGCTCTGATGACTGGCAGGCTGCAGGGGGATCTTGGGGTAGAAGAAGCTGTGAGACGGGACAGGTGGGCCAAAGGGGAGATGGGTAGGAGAGACAGGTGAGAAGAGAGACAGGTGTAGAGAATCAGGTGAGAAGGATGTAGCAGACCTGTAGGTGTCTCAGGACCAGGAATGTTGGTGTTTATGGGTGGAGCGCAATACAGTGAACAGAAGCAGGAGAGAAGGTGGCTGCTGGGACCGGGTCACGTTTTGAAAGCCAAGCAGGAGCAAGTGAGTGGCTCCTGTGTCCGGCCCTATAGATGGGCCAGGCTGGTGAGAGGCTGAGGGAGAAGCCGTGTGGGGCCAAGTCCCAGAGCCCCTAAAGCTGGGTGGAAAGGGCCTGGTGGCTTTTGCAGCAGAGAAGGTGGGTGGCATGTCGTGTCTGGCGATCACCACTCACCAGATTCTTCTGGCCCCTGCTGTGAGTCCCTCATGGAATTACACAGCCTTCTTCCACATCTGGCCCTGGCCATCTGACCTAGTTGTGTAGATGAGGATGCTGTGGCTTCAGAACTAGCACTCTGTTAGAGTTCTACTTATTGGGAACAGGGAATGATTTATCTCCTGCCCAGGGCCTTGTTCAGAGCTCAGATCAGGTGGCATGCAGTTCTGGGAGCTGCATGGGCCATGCAGCTGTCCTGCCTCTCTTCTGCCCTGCTCAGCTCCCCTCTGCAGCCAAGCCTGGGCACTGCCAGCCCTCCTCCCACAGTTCGTACTTGCTCAGGAGTTCCTATTCTCTCTGAGAGATTTTTGCAGGCAGTGGGGCACAGAGGCCAGGGAAGGGGAGGTGCACTCGAAGGATAAGTGCTCATGATAGAGGTTGGGGAACCATACTGTCCTGGTCCGATGAGGTGGCTCAGAGTGCATGTGCCCTGGTGCACATGGGTATCTGCCTTGTTACAGGCAGCGATAAAGACCAGAAAGGCCCTTCCATGGACCTATGAACTTCCTGCCATGGGATAGGACATGCTTATACTGGAAAGGTATACTATGGGTGCTCACTCAAGGTGTGCTATGTGCCTGCACAGATCCTTCCTTG